AGGATAAGACTTTCTGGCTACTTTCACCAAAAAATTCCTTCATTCTGAGGTTGTACTCCAAGTAAGCTTGCTCCACCACGAAAATGGAGGCCTTGATAAGGGTCAAGGAGTAGTAGATATTGAGGCTGAGAGCAGTTCCTGGAGGACACCTTACGGACGGTTTACACAACACCTGGAGTCACGGAACACCTTCTGGAAATGATCACCTGAAGAAACAGGCAGGAGAAAGAAGAAATCAGAGGAGCTGCCTCGGGAATTCTATGTCAGCTTGTAATCCCCAAGAGCAATAGCTTTTGGGTGATGGCAATTGCTGGAGCACTGGAAGGTATTCTATGGATGAGGGAGATAGTGACAAAGAACTGGAGCTTGACAAAGCGAACTCACGTTCCATGGATTGAGAATGCTCAAGAGTTTGGCAAAGGATGACAAGAACTGCGTTTAGATAGGAAATACTCAAGGTCTATACTCCATTCTTGTAGCAAACATAGAGATCAAAGGGAGAGAAAAAGCACTGGCCCAGAAAAGCCAGAAGAAAAATCTCAAGAAGACACTCCAGCTGCTTCAAAGGCTAGTGTCGACAAATGGAGAACAACTTGGATCTTATAAGTTACAGCATTATAAAAACTCAGGCCAACAGCTGAAATCAGCAACTTGGTGGTGTTCTCATGCTCTTGACGTTGATTATGCAGAGCTGAGATTTGTTCGCACTTAGTTACTGTTGCTGATGACATAATCTTGATGAGGCATGCCAGAGAGAAACTGATCGTGACAATACCCGAGGCCAGCTGAAGGACATGGAGGATGTGAAGAAAAGAGAAAGAACATAGCAGGAAAACCTTAATCTAGCAAATGCCCCTAACAAGATATAGATCTTGTAGAAAAAATTGCTCTAAATACTAGAGTTACTCTAGCTATTGAATGAGCTAACTGTTATCTACTACATGAGCTAACTAGGAGTGAGAATTGTAGTTAACTAAAGATAATTGGTGCATAAATTTGAACTTATCTCCAAAACTAATAAACTCATTAGAGTTCTTCTAATCATTTCTTAATATTCAAATGATATAACCATTGGGGAATTCAAAGCTAAAGTGAACATGGATGGACAAGTGGGGTAATCAAACAATTACAAATCTATAAACAATTCACAATTACTCAAATAACATTATTTTCTCGAAAGGTCTTGGATAAACTTAATAAAGTCTATTATGCTATTCCATTTATTCTAAAGTACATATAAAGGATGATACAGGCTAATGAATTTTTGATAATCAATTTTGACCACTTGGCAGGTTAAACAACCATAATTATACTTTTTAATATCTAATTTCATCCTAAGTTAAAAGAAATGCCTTTTCACCAATATATATGTCCTTAATACCCCTGGATGCCTAGCACTTGGCACATCATAATATTTAACTAAAATCCATTTGATGAGTTTATCAACACGAAAAACTATAACACATCCTTTCTTCACCATAATTCCATCTCATATCTTGAATGACATAAACTTGTCACCCTTCAATTTGTAGAGACATCCTTTAATAAAACCTTTTTATGAATATCAGTGATAAAAGAGTTGAAGTCAATAAACTCTTTAAGCTTATTTAATAGATCATTAGATAGTTTTATGAATAAGATAAAATTCACCATCCTAGATAATGCATCAATCACTTCATTATTATGTCTATGCTTGTATCAAATTTTAACAAATATTTCCTACATAAACTTTTGCGAATGAGTAAGGCAACCTTAAAGATCCTTTTGACAATAGATATAGTGAAGAGACTAATGGTTTAAATCCATATAGAAGTTTGATCCATACCACCATTCCTTCACAATAGCAATTATAGCATACAACTCTTTATCTCAAGTAAGTTAATTTTATTGTGTGGTATTAAACTTGTGGCTTCTGTACGTGCGAGGATGCTCAACATGAAACAATATAACCTTAATAGCAATGTCACTCACATCTATCTCAACCACAAGAGGTTTAATCACTAACTCTAAAGCATTAATCAATTGAGTATTACTATCTTGACAATGTCTTTCACATTGCCACCAACTTTAATATGTAGAACATTGCATTCCCAATCAATCCTTGGCTTCTTATCATAAAATTATTCTTTCCTAAGAATAACATTTGTGTTACCAAGATTTATTACTTGGAATGAAGGATGGCTAAGAATCCTTTGAACTGTTAAAAGAACACTTGAAACCCATTCACTATAAATACGAGTGTTGCATCTATCCACTATAACTATCTTGTAAATTCTTTTCCACATGCAAACCTAATTTCTTTACCACCTTAGAGCTCAAAAAGTTGTGTGTAGTACCTAGCTCAAAAAGAATACTAACCACTCTACCTTGATATCCCTCTTGGCTTTCATAAATTGATTACATATAAAACCATTGAGCTTTACATAGTTGATATATGCTTTATTTCATTAAAGTGGAACTTTTCATTATCCCACTTATGGTGTGTGGCCACATGCCATTTTTATAACAACAATAAAAAATTGAAGTTTTAGATTTATAATTTATAAATTAAAAACTTTTCATATGATTTTGTGTTATAATATTGTGAAATATAAAAAAATAAATTAAAAAACTGATAGAAATATTAATAAATATTAATTAAGTACTAGGAAATGGCATGTGGACACATGCTAATTAATGTCCCACTTTACTGAATAAGTCCCACTTTAACGAAATAAAGCATATATGAACTTAAGACTTAGGTTTTTGAAATTTTATCATGAAGTGTGTGGAAGAGATATTATAATAAATGCTTAAGCTATGCCTATAATGGATTCCATCACATTCACCTTAATATTTTTTTACCCCTTCAGAATAATCCTTGCCTTGATATCCAACTTTGTGGCAACAAAAACAATTACCCTCCACCTTCTCTTTCTCTTATTAATCCAAACAAAGTCTCTTAACCTTATTGCTATCTTTATTTTCTGAGCCATGACGTGATAATAGTTGTTTCTTCCCTGAATATGAAGCATTAGTTGACTAGTAACCAAAAATAATGACTTAATATATAATCCATAAAAATTTGAATATAAAAAGAAAGGGCTTATAGATAAAAATGCACCTCATTGATTAAAGGTTTTGGGATATTTGGTTAAATATATTTGAATTTAAATAGAGTATTGGGTTAAATGACCTTCTAGAAAGTTCAAATTTAAGAACTTACAATTATTATATTAACTACCCTATAGACCATCCTATTGACTAAATTTGACTAAGTTGACTAGTGGTTTAGGCAAAAAGATCTGTGCCTTAGTGATAGTATTATTCAATGTTGCTAAAAAATCTTTTATAACCTTCTACTATACATTTACTAAGCTCAAACCTTTGATAAAACATTACACTTTTAGCAGCTTATTATAAGTGCCCATAAGACTAAGGCAAAAATTAAAGAATTTACAAGTATACACATCCAAAGACAAAGTCCTTTATATGATTTCTAACAGCTGATTTATGAGATCAACCTCTTCAAACTTCTTGATAAATGAAGCACAAAAAACTTTCATCAAATCACTCTAAAAAGTTGGCTTTTAATTAACTTTGATGTAGTTCTTCCATCATGAAGAAACATGATCTGTAAACTTCATTACAAAAAAAATTAATCTTCACATTGTCTTCACAAAGGTTGTAAGATCAACAACTTTCTCACAACTCCAAACAATAATCAACCTTTTAGTTTTTTTTTTAGAAAAAAAACATTTGATGATGACTTCCATTCCACAATACCATAATCCTTTGCATATTTAATATATCAATAGTAATCATGGAAATGAGATTGATTTAACCTTTAAGGGTCTAAATCTTTAATGAAATTGATAAAATCCTTAACCCCTTTAATGCCACTTTGAACTTTAGTAATTTAGCATCTTTGTTGCATAATGAAATTATCAAGAGTCTCTTTTATAGCCATCATTATTAATGCTATACCTCTCATTATGATCAATATCCCACTTATTTGCCATCCCCAAAAGAATATACTTCTCCAATACCAATGAAACAAATAAGGAGGCCAAACTCACAAAAGTGTTAAATCCCAGGTCATAGGATATTCTTAAAATATTTTTATGGTTTGTGTCAGTTAAGCCCATGGAATGGATAATCTTGTCTTAGAGAAACAAAACTATAGTATAGGTGGCATTAAATTACCAATGAAATAGTGAGAATGAACATTGTTTTAGTATAAAAGATTGGTATATTAATAGTGCCTTTGGGTGGTTGAAATAAAACTTAAACACATAAAACATTTAGACCAAATGTAAAATCAATGTAACTTTTAGGGTTTCAATAAAGTTGAGTGAAACTGCATTTTGTCCATGATTGTAGGAGGCATCAATTCTAATGGTAAGGCAATTTGGATTCATTGGAATCCTGGATTGTGGTACCAAAGGCAAAAGATTGAAGGAAGAAATCCAGTGTATGAGCTATATGTTACTGATCATCAAACTTTTTTTTACACCACAAATCAGCTTGATTGGAGGGGCCTTCCAATTCTCTCTCTGTTGTTGTCTCGGGCCTCACCAGAGTTAAAGCTCTGTATAGGATGAGATGAGACATGAAAGAATGCTAGAGCTCCTGGTCAGGGCACCATAGGTCCCCCTTAGCACGCTTGAACTGTTAGTCCCTTGCTTGCATCAGTCAACTCAGGTCACACTTGGTCCTGATGATCTCCCAATCCTTTCCTGGCTGCACTAAGTTTTAGCGCGGGGAGTGGTTTGGAGACACTTCCCGAGCACTCTACGACTCGGCCTTTGTGCCCAGTGTGGAAAAGATGTTCCACGAGATGCCATCTGCTGGAAGATCTCACGAAGCACTTGTGCAACAAGACGAAACGCCCTGAGCGCCACCAAAATTAGTGCCGCGCCTAAACGAGATGAATGTGTGTATCAGAAAACGACATCTGACTCGAATGATAAGGAGCTACTGATATTATCTCACGAACCCTAAGGTCCCTGGAGGAGCAATTATGCAGGAATCAGAAGGTGCTCCTCGATTCTTGGAGAGGCAACAAGCAGGAGCTCTGAAGCCAAGTGCGAGGTCACTGTTCCCTTGTCCTCTTCCAGACAGATTTTTCCTTCGGGGTTCCAGTTGAAGGCTTGTAATAGTGAAGCCAGAACGAAACCCATTGAACGCAGCGCCAGAGGGTAGCCTGGGCACCTCCTTCGGCCTGCTGAGAAGGGAATGACGTTGAAGTTCTGACCAATTATGCCGGCTTGGTTCTTCAAGAAACGCTCCGGTCTAAACACCTCAGGCTCGCTCCAGTATGTCTGGTCACGGCCTATTGCCCAGATGTTGATGAGCATTGTGCATCCTGCTGGGATTCTATAACCATTTACCATCGCCTCTTTCCGGCTGAAATGAGGAAGGGCCAACGGTAACGGAGGATGCAGACGAAGAGTCTCTTTGACAATGGCTTCAATGTAAGGCAAGCTCATAAGATCGCTCTCTTCAACAAGCCGGCCTTTTCCAATCACTTTGTCAAGTTCATCCTGGGCTTTCTTCACGACTTGAGGATTGTTGGCTATTTCAGCCATCATCCATTCGAGTGCTGAGATGGTCGTCTCCAGCGCTGCAGCAATCATATCCTACCAAACAAGAACAAGTTCAGGACTTCCCGGTAAGAGCAAAGGTGGTCTAATGCGACAATCTACTTACCGCTAGTAATGCCACAATGGAGATGTCTTCTAGAGCATCTTCCTTCTCTAGCGAGATGAGGACGTCCGTGAAGTCCTTCGGAACGAACTTGTCCGAGCCGACTTGAGCTTTGTTCAGCTTGTGTTCCTCGATTATGTCGTCAATTATAGCTTTCAGTGGTGGGAGGAACTTGTTTTGCATTTTCGCATTCATCCCATGCAGATCGAACCGATCCAGTGCGGGAATGAGCTGCCCCACATTCAAGTTCAGAGCCTGAGACGACATCTGATCAAGGATTCCCACGGCTGCTTCCAAGCCTTTCTTGCCAAAGAGTGTCAGGCTGGTGTTACCAGAAACATAATTCCCCATAATCTTTCGCACCCTGACAGGCTTCCCTTGTTTGTGGCACTGGAGAATTGACTGGATTGCAATCTGAAGCTCGGACCTCCTATAATCCGTGCTTGAATTGACCATTTTGTTGCTGAACAGATGCATCACGCTTATCTTTCTCATCCTCTTCCACAAATTGCCGTAAGGTCCAAATACCATGTCCTTCCAGTCGAAGCTGAAGAGCCTGAAGTACTCAGACCTCCCCCGATCAGCAAACTCCACATCGTGGACCTTGAACACCACCTCTGCTGTTCTTGCATCGTTGACCACCAGGAAGGGCACCATCCCAATTTTCAGGTAAATGAGAGGCCCATATCTCCTGCTCAGCTCAGCGAAGTGCCTGTGGAGTGGCTGCCGAAGACTGAAGAGCGATCCCACAATGGGAAAAGAAGGCGGACCTGGAGGCAAAGATTTAGAGCACAAGAAGCGGTAGCAAAACAATCCAAGTGCAGGAAACCCAAGAGTTGAGAGCAAAAAATGATCCATTTCCTTCATACCATGAAGAGCAAGACGCCTTTCGATTATATACCAAATAGCAACTCAGATTCCCCTCACTAAGGACGCTTAAAGTCAGACGCTTGAAGGAATATGGGTGTAGCAGCAGGATCATTCGCATCTATTCATTTGTGTCGTCTTCACTTACGGGTTTTTTTTTATCAACTCTTCCATTATAATAAAAGTTTTATGGACATCGCAATCTTATGTCATGCCAGCATAAGCACTTAGCTAGATAAAATACATCATTGAGAGCTCCTCCATTGGACTCTCCATCTCTGTGACAATGACGTTCCCTAGCATCACAAAGCAATGCCAGCATTTATCGCGAGAGTTACTACTCAAATGGATCCATGGGAGAGTCAAGGTGGTGGACTTCTATGCTTGTTTCTCCAGGAAAATCTTGGTTGCTAGCAAGGATTGATTTGTTCCCATGTTGTTTTTTGTTCTTCCCCATATGAGCGCATATGGAAACTACATGTTTTTGGGGTCATTGGGTGTCTAGCTGGAGCCATGAGACAACAAATTGCCATGTTTTCCATTCTTTCTTTGAAAACAATTTCTTTCTGGACAACCTGGTCACCGGTATTTTAGTGAATGCAAAAGGGTATTGGATATGGAACACCCATTTCCTTGTTTCCTGAATTGCTCTACTTACATAGTCATGCTACTGGAGGCCTCAAGTGGGCTTTTGATTCCTACAGGCTAGTTCCTTTATCTTTGCAGAGCTAACTCCCAAAAGAACTTTTCACGTTGATGGAATTGGAAGGCGTGAAGTCAAGGTGCAGCATAGAGCAACATGGATTTTGCATGGAAACAAGTAGATGCTGGCAATCTGTTACTTTTGCATCTGTTGACAAGGTGCTGGTGCTTAAAGAGAATGTTTGCTGTATTTAAGTTTATTTAGTGGTTTTCTTAAAGTATTTTGATATTCTGGGATATTCTATTGTCTTATTAATTTTGGTATTTATAATCTATAACTTTCCTAAACACTTATTCTACCATTTAATAGTTGATATATAATAGCATTAATCTTGTGTTTATAAATTATTAAATTTGGAAAGGCATATTTTTGGCTTGTATAGCTTTTACCCTAACATTATAAAGTATGAAAGTGTAGAGCTAGAAATAAACACTCACAACATGGTTACTAAAAGGAAGTTATATAGTTACTTAAAGAGATACTATATGGCTGTTTTTTATGGAGTATAATACAAAATTAAAAGTCAAATGCAAATTTAAAGCTCTCACCAAACTTTATGGTAACATATAATTATAGTTTGGTAACATATAATTATTAAAAATATATATATATAATTTATCTTTATGTTTACCAATGTGTGATGCATACTAATTTGACTTCATATGAACTTCTCTACTTGTAAAAATGTTAAACTTCTCATAAGTGTCGTTAGATACAATGCACAACGAATTTTTCTATACCAACAATAAAAATAACAAAAATAACTGCAGTATGCAGCTAGACATAACAGCCATATAATTATTATTAAACCAAACCAGTAGTGCAATAAATTATTTTAAATTAAAGACTTTGATGCAATATTATAAACTTATACATAGAGAACAAGTCTAAAATACCCAAAACTTTCAATAGAATTGGGGAGCTGATAGGCGACAAACTTGCTCCATAAGATCCTATACAAACATCACACATGAGCTCTGTGATCCTCACCAACTACTGGAGCCTTGTGGAGCGTATGGCTGGAGGTCTATATCTTTGAGCATCGAGTTCACTGAGTCCACAGAGTTCATGAGCGAGTTGCACCTGGTGATGGTGCTGCCAAAAGGAGGGGGTGGGGGCTGGAGTGTACTTAGCCTAGTGTTCTCTAAGTAATCAGCTGTATGGTGTGAAAAGAAAAACCATTAAAGCACCTAATGTTGTGTTCAAATGTCGTAACTGCGATTAAGTGGTGCCATCAAGAGGGAACTTTATATGATCAAGAGGAAATTCCCAAAAGTGAGAGAAAATTCCATTTCCAGGATTTGAACCCGGGTCGCCTGGGTGAAAGCCAGGTATCCTGACCGGACTAGACGACAATGGATTACAAAATCTTGCTTAAATTACAAACGCATTGAAATTTGCAGGAGAAGCGCCAAAACCTTGCATTTCAAATTTTGGGGTTAGGGTTTATTCTGGGCGAGGTGAGCGCCACGCGATCGCGGTCTCTGAATCTGCGAATGTTCGAACTGTAACAGTGACAAACCAGGTACAATCTCGACTAGTGATGGTCTTTGTCGACTTCTTCTAAAGCTAAGCTGATAAGTTCTTCCATCGCTTGAGCATGCAGTGTTAATCCCATCGCTCCTGAGAAAGTGATGAAGTTGTCCACGTCTGAGATGGTATCAAGCATCCTTTGCAGCTGTTCTTTCATTCCCTGGGCTCTGAACGCGCGGATAAAGTAGCCATCTCTCTTCATCAGCGCCAGAGCAAGCTCCACAGTGTGCCGTCGAGTTCTAGGCAGCTCCAGGGACGCTTCATGAAAGGTTAAGTTCATGACTTTAGAGACTAGTTCTTTTCTGCCGTTCGAAAGAATTTCTGTGCTAACGGGCACTGTTGATGCAGCTAGACCAAGGAAAGCTTCCAGCTGCTTTCCATGAGCTTGGGTGATTTCTTGGAGGAGCCAAGAAGTTTCACTGGCGATTTCTAGTTGCTCGTCGTGACAGAGGTATGGCCAGATACTTCTCAATATGTTCCCTGCACAGGCACTTACATCTTGGTTCCCAGCTTTGAGAATGGCGATGAAGCTTTCGAGCATTTGATGTGATCTTATAACTCGGGAGGAGTTTTTGGAGCTCTTCAGGACTAAAAGGTACACAGCCTCTCCAGCCTTTAAGCGCACTGTGAATTCGATGCCTTCTTGATCGTGTTCGTCTTTAAGAAATAGAGCTAGAAGGCTGTGAACTAGCCCGCCAGTTCCTGCTATGTTCTCCTTGATGCCATCATCTAATGCCAGGCTTGTGATGATGTCCACAGCTAGACCCCGGAGAACTGGATGAGCTCCACAGTGCTGAAGAACATCTCGCAAGTTCGGTAACGTAAAGACAATTTTTGTGATGTCACGTTTGAGCGCCCTCCCGTGTTCTCCTTTTGTCGACACTAGCCTTTGAAGCAGCTGGAGTGTCTTTTTGAGAATTTTCTTCTGGCTTTTCTGGCCCAGTGCTTTTTCTCTGCCTTTGATCTCTATGTTTGCTACGAGAATGGAGAGTAGACCCCGAGTATTTCCTATCTGAACGCAGTTCTTGTCGTCCTTTGCCAGAGTCTTGAGCATTCTCAACCCATGCAACGTGAGTTCGCTATTGTCAAACTCCAGTTCTTCATCGCTATCTCCCTCATCCAGAAGCAAAGTTAGAATACCTTCCAGTGCTCCAGCAATTGCCATCACCCGAAAGCTGTTGCTCTTGTGGATTACAAGTTGGCATAGAATTTTCGATGCAGATCTTCTGATTTCTTTTTCCTGCCTGTTCCTCCAGGTGATCATTTCCAGAAGGCGCTCGGTGACTCCAGGTGTTGTGCCAACCGTCCGTAAGGTGTCCTCCAAGAACTGCTCCTGCGTAATCAACGTCGAGAGCATGAGAACGCCACCGAGCTGCTCGTTTCCGCTGTTGGACTGGATTTTCGCAATGCTGTAAGTTACCAGATCCAAGTTTAGTCCGACAAAAATGCTTTCTTTCAGGCATTTCGAGTAGACGTCGTAAAAGAACTGGCGAATGAAGTCCAAGAGGTCCTCGCCAAGCTGTGACTTTCTGGCTACTTTCACCAAAAGCTCCTTCATTCTGAGGTTGTACTCCAAGTAAGCTCGCTCCGCCAGGAAAATGGAGGCCTCGACGAGTGACAAGGAGTAGAAGATGTTGAGGCCGGAGCCGAGATTTGTTCGCACCTGGTTGCTGCTGCTGCTGCTTCTGCTGATGACATAATCTTGCTGGATGAGGCGTGCCAGAGAGAAACCGATCGTGACAACGGCCGAGGCCAACTGAAGGACATGGAGGATGAAACTTATGCGACGGGCTGAGAAGTAACGGTGGGAGTAAGGGACGAGAGGAACAGTGTTCCAGGACCAGGTCCTCTTGACATGAAAGCCATCGAAGTTCACTGGAGCAGGAACTCGGAGACGACAAGCGTCAGAAGCAAAACTTTCATCACCTCGATCGGAGCTTTGCTGCTGCTCGCCGGGGATCACATGTATGTTGCTGAGAGCCGACCGGATCGCTAGCAGTGTGTTCGAGCTTGCCGACTTGAGCTTGGAGTGGAGCCGGACAGAGCCTCCCGCTGCGTGCTGCCATTCCAGCTCGTGACTTCGGCTGAAAACTCGAGTTCCTTCAGTGAGCAGCAGCGCGGAGACGACCCAGAAATCAAAAGGCTTGATATTGGTGACGAATCCACCGAGAAGAACCACCGTCGCCCACACAAAGGCTAACACTCCGAGACCTGTTGCTGCCTTTTCGAGAATCGCCAGCCTCAGTGCGACTATAGTCAGCTCTTGCTCCGGTGCCAGGATCATTGTTCCCGATGATCGTGATCCTGTTTGAGATATCTCCACCTCAGGAGGAGAAGCCATCATGGAAGATGCAAAACTCTTCAAGCTCTAACCGGGAATATTTAAGCTACGCAAGGCTTTTGCTTGGCAGGGAATGAAGTTTTGGAGGGAGAGTGCTGGTGAAGGATCGTTGTTTCACAGTCGCTTCCAACTGAAGCAAGCCAGCCAATGACGACGTGCTGAGACGTGCTACACTCGACGCAAGTAAGCGAGCTGGATTGATCAAAAAGGAAGCCGGACGTGGTTTATGCCAGGACGCTCGGGATGAACTATGAACTACGTAAGATCCTTGAAGCAGTCATCGCACGAGACAGACAACTTGGTGAGTATTTTGTTTGCTCTTTCTTCTTTTGTTTGTCGTGCTCAACACAAGTAGCAACAGCTGACACTTGTGTTGCGTGATGCTAAGGAGTCAAATTCTCGCTCGAAATCCTCGTTTCACTCGGCACTTGAGGGTGGTGGCTGCCGAAGGCCTTCTTGAGGCTGCTTATAAAGTCCTTTCGGCCGCGATAGATGTCAACGTGGTGAGGAGGAACCAGGCAGTAGACCACGGCAACCAGCACAGTAGCAAAGTAAGGAGCAACCCACCATAGCCAGTGTCCTCGCCAGAGCTCCTCATTGTGGCTTCCCATGACAACGGCCGGGCCGATACACCTCGCCGGATTCATCCCCGCTCCAGAGTACCCCAGGGCAAGGCCTCCGGACACGAAGACCAGCACACCAACAGCGGCAGCGATGAAAGTTGGCGCCAGGATGGCTCCAAAGACCGGAGCTCGGAACGGGTCCAGTGCCAAAGTCGCGACGATGAACATGAGGAAGAAGGTGAAGAAGGTCTCGGCGACGAAGGCTGAGCCGACGGGAAATCCCGCTCCGGCCGAGTTTCGGATGGTGCAGCCTCCCAGCGCGAACTTGTGCGCTACTTCGTGCGGGAGGACGAGCTTCATGCACAGGGAGCCGAAGATGGAGCCGATGCATTGAGCTCCCGTGTACATGACGACTCGGGAAGGGGAGACGTAGCCGAGCACCATGGCCATGAAGGTGATACAGGGATTGAGGTGGCCGCCGGAGGAGGGAGCCACCGAGAGTATGAGGAAGGAGATGACGAGGAAGTGGAGGACCGAGATGGCAGTCATGGGCGAGGCGCTTTGCTGCGAGCAGCTGACGATGATGAGGATGCTGGCGAAGACGAAGGCTCCGGTTGCCAAGCACTCGACGAGACAGGATCGCCACACCTGGAGCAAGCACGAACTTGTGTGACGGGATTGAGAGAGAGAGGTGGAGTGGTTTTACCTCGGCGCTGGTGAAGTCTTGGAGCTGGAGGAACTTGGAGAGGATCTGGAGGGCCGAAGCTTGTCTGGAATGGTAGTGGGGGTGCTGGCTCTCCGGAGGCTCCATCCCGTCATACACGTCCATCACTCGCTCGCCGCCGCCATAGCTCAGAGGCCTGATCCGGGAGTTTCCAACGTCTAAAGTCAGCGAAGGCGTCTTTCGAAACAAGTCGAGGAAAGATTTATATGACTTGAGAGAACAAGCAAAGCAAAGCAAAGCAAAGCAAGCAAGCAAGCGGTACGCACATTTTCTTTGTCTTGCTTCTCTTTTCCTTTCTCTGTTCTTGATGATCCGTCCTCCAGGGGAGAGCCAAGCGATGGCGCGCTTAAGAAGAGCTCATCTTTGCTCGCGAGAGAGACAGAGACAACGAATGAGAAACGCGAGCGAGAGCGAAGAAAGGTATGGAGCTCTTTAATACATTCTTGGTCGGAGAAGCTTTTCTTGTTCCAGAGTGCCAGGGATTCCAACATTTTTGCGCCAAGGGTGGAAATTTTCCAGGCCGGGGTTTGGTGTGCTGTGGTACAGGGTCACGCAAAGCACACGCGGAGGCCACAAATTCATGATCTCTTAACAAACGCGAAAAAAGCGCCAAGCCTTTTTAAATTTAAACATGGAGAATATGCTGCTGATGCTTTCCATCTTGACCTAAACGGATATTCGGAGAATATAGAGGGCTGGATTCGAACCCCCAACGGCAAGGGCGCGTTCCAAGGTTTTGAATGCGCGGCTATGGCGACGATGGGGATGGCGCTCGACGGCGCCGGCGCCGCTAGGGCCAGCGCTGCTCGATTGTCGCGGCGCCTAGCTCCAGCGGAGGTGAGCGCGTCTGGTCTAGGTTCTTTCCGCGGAGCGAACATCTCCGGCGGCGGCGCGAGGTCGGGGATGAGATTTCCGCGAGCAGGGAAGGTTTTGGAGGATTTGAGCCTCTGCCAGGTCCTAGCGGAGAAATCCGCCAGCGGCGGCAGCAGCGGGGATGACAAGGTCGAAAAGGAGGGATTTTGGAGCAGGATAAGCAGGGCTTGGAAGATCTTGTTTCCTCCAAGGCAAGCCATGTCCAATGCGCAGCTTGCCAAGCGGAGGCTCAAGATGATCCTCATCTCCGACCGCTGCTCCGTCACCGACGAGGCCAAGCGCAAGATCCTTGACAACATTGTGGGCGCTCTGGCCGACTTTGTGGAGATCGAGTCCGAGGACAAGGTCGAGCTCAACGTTTCCAGCAATTCCGAGCTTGGAACGCTCTACTATGTCACCGTACCCGTGCGAAGAGTGAGGCCAGAGTTTCAGGACTACAGCAAGGACATGGAAAGCTCATGGTGCTTGGAATCCTCTGGGTAAGTTTTGACTTTTTTTTTTCTCCCTGGACTATTTTCACTCGGTATAGTCTGTTTCAATCCAGCTCTCCGGAGTAACGCAACGCTTCAAGGAAATGACCACTGGCCAGGTTCGTTTTTACTACAGTAAAGTTCCTCAAGAACACCTCCGCGCGCTGGATCTAAAAACGTTTTGTCTTCTCGGATGTGGTTTAGGTCCATCCCGCATCGCGTGATTCACAGAACAATTCATTCTTCGTCGATTCGCTCGACATTGCTATTCGGTAATTTTCTTTTTAGAAAAATAGACAAAGTTCTTCCATATGGCGAGCAAGTTGCTCGTCCAAGCTTTGCTAATCATTCTAAGTTCCTCGATTGCCACCGCCAGCAGCAGCAGCAGCAGCTCCACCAAAACAGGTCCGAAGAGCAGATCAAGCAACCAGCAGCAGCGATCGCAGCTCCAAAACAGATCAGACAACTCGGAAGAATTCTCCAGCGCTCTTGGCTACCTCAAACAGGTCGGACGAACGATGGGCTGCTCGAGTAAGCCGATGATCTGCCTGGACAAGCGATTCAAGCCGGCGGGGCCGATTTGCTGCGGCTGGATTTGCGTGGACGTTACCAGGGACGTGAATCACTGCGGCCATTGCTTCCACCGCTGCAAGTACTCGCGCTCCTGCTGCCAAGGGAGGTGTAAGAACTTGGACCGGGACGTCCACAACTGTGGCTTTTGCGGGAGGCGCTGCCCAAAGCGCACCAAGTGTGTCTTTGGTATGTGTGGCTATGGAGGCTAGTACTCTGTTCCATTTTGACCTAATCCTAGAGGGTCGTTTTGACCTAAAAGACAAGTTTGCCCTAAAAGGAGGGTTCTTGGCGATGGAGGAGGAGCGATCGGCCAAATCGGCGGACGATGGCGGGACGACAATGTAAGCGATGGATCAATTTTTTGTTGGCCATGGAAAATTTAAGCCTTTGCCGCAGATTTGACAAGATTTTGAGCAAGGAGATCAATGCCACAATCGTGTACGAAGATGACAAGGTAAAGTACTTTAATTCTTTGTGAGGTTACTTCTTTCCATGCTTCACAGGCGCTGGCGTTTCGAGACATCGAGCCGCAAGCGCCGGTTCATGTCATCCTGATACCCAAGCAGCGTGATGGACTCACTCGTCTTGCGAATGTGAGAAAATCTCCATGTCTTCTTAGGAAACAAGAATTGGATTGTTTTTCTTCTTTTTCTAGGCCGAGAAGCGGCACCGAGAGATTCTTGGGCACCTTCTCTACGTTGCCAAGAAGATCGGCGAGCAAGAGAAGCTCCAGGAAGGATATCGCGTTGTGATCAACGATGGCCCCAAAGGATGTAAGTGGAGATCTTCTCAAAGAGACTTCGCTCGAGTTCTTTTGATCCAATTCTTTGTTCTCTCCTGCTGGATTGAAACGTACCAGGCCAATCGACGTACCATCTACACTTGCACATCATGGGAGGCAGGCAGATGAAATGGCCTCCGGGATAGAGCGTTTAGCCTGTGAGTTGGAACTCTAGAACAATAAATGTCGAGAAGAATTCAAAGCTAACGAGCGAGAGAAAGCGAGTACCTTGAATCTCATGCCGCCACTGACTGGAGAAAATCGTCCAGGTAACTTTTGATCTTGGCTTTGGTGATCGCTCCTTCTCTTCGACTTCCAGAGACTATTCCACCGTTTTTAAACATGACCAAAGTTGGGAGGCCGTAAAGCTTGTATTTTTCTACCAGGCCGGGGCTCTTGTCGGTGTCAACTTTGTAGACTTCGAGCTTTCCAGCATACTCCTGAGAAGAAAAACCACAAAGTTTTCCAGTTACTTCCACTGTAATCGAGAGGGAAAAACGCAATTTTTTTTAAAAAAAAATCACTCTTTGCTCTTTCGATCGAGAGAAGGAAGTGTTCTTACCTCGGATGCCCAATCCACCACGGGCGCCACGAGCTTGCAAGGTCCACACCACTCGGCCCAGAAATCCACCAGCACTGGAAGCTCCGATTTCAAAACCGCAGCCTCGAATTCGTCCTCGGTGAGATTCTTGGCCTTGCAAGAAATGCCGCAATCCTGCTTCCTCAGCCACTGTGAGCCGCCGATTGAGGCGATCGCACCGCGCCGGAGAGGAGAACCTAGCCGCCTTGAGAAACTCACGGAAATCCTGTGCTGCGGCGCCGGCGCCGGCTTGATCCTCGCGACTACGATCGGCGCTGATCCGCAAGCCGCGATCGAGGACGCCATTGCCAGTGTGGTGGCTGGATCACGCTAACCTAGCCCGCATTCCTGCGTAGAAGCGCTAGAACCCTATCTTTACTATTCGAATGGCCAGTAGTGGAAAGCATTTCCATTGGTCGACATTTAGGGCTTAATGATTGATCCGACGAAGACGATGGTGATGGCGGCGTCGATCCGCGTCGCTACCACGATCGACGAGATTGTAAGTCAAGCAATAGAGATTTCTTGAGAGTAAAGACTAGGTAGAGCTGGATCTAGCAAGTCTTTGCTCTCAAAAACAAATAAAAGACCTTTCAATCGCTCTCGCTGGAGAGAGGTCTTTTCTTTTGCCTCACTGTTAGAAGATTAAAGCCAGAGAGGAAGAACAGAGTGAGAGAATGGTTTCTAGAAAGATTAAAGCAAGAAGAGAGGAAGAACATGGTTTAGAGCTTCTAGAAAGAAGGGATTTGTCCAGGGAGAGAGAGAGAGAGAGAGATTAGAGCTAAATGGAATGGAGGTGAAAGAAAAGTCTTGGCTAGAGATTAAGACGTGAGCTCACTTTGCTCTTATTTGTTTTCCAGTCGTGCACACAACTTGGTTGGCAGAAGCTCTGGAAGAAAAAAGAAAAGAAAAGGAGGTCTCTTCTCTCGAGCGATGGGTGCCTGCCAGTCCGTGCCAGGAAGGAGTGAACTCTGGGTCACGATCATACTCGCACAACTCTGGAGCTACGCGTACAGGTGAAACCCAGTTCCTTTTTTTTTTCATCTCTCTCTCCTTGCAGCTGACTCCATATAAATAACTCCACTCATTCTCATTCTCTTTGTAGGAACGCAAAGAGCGATTGCAATTCGGACGAGAGAAAAGAATTAGATTTGCAGAGATGGAACGAGCTCAGGGAAGAAGCGGTGCAGCATTGCCAGTAGCTCTCGGGATTTTGCTGCTGCTGGTGGACTTCGCCTGTGCCGCGACTTACATTGTCGGTGATAGCCAGGGATGGGACTTGAATGTCAACTACGCAGCTTGGGCTGGCAAGAAGAAATTCCGAGCTGGAGACGTTCTAAGTAAGCTTCTCTCCTCCGTTTCTCGTTTCAAGCTAGGACAGACTTGGAGATCTCTCAAACTCTCCCTTCTTTGTTTTTCTTCTACCAGTTTTCACGTACACTCAGATGCACAGCGTGGTGGAAGTGAGCCAGGCCGATTTTGCGACGTGCACGATCACTCCCATCAGCACTTACATGTCTGGCAACGACAGTGTGACGCTCAGCTCCACCAAGTCGAAGCAGTTCTTCATCTGTGGAACTGGAGGCCACTGCGGCAGTGGAATGGCGTTGCAAGTCGATATCTCTCCTGCTGCTGCTACTGTCCCGGCTCCAGCTCCAGCTCCAAGAGCAAAACCTCCGGCCCCTGCCGCTGCCAAATCGCCCAAGAGTTCTTCTCCAGCTCCTAAAGGTGAGAACCCCGTCTCCACTCCATCTTCGACGCCTTCGTCTCCTTCGCCATCGTCCAGTTCTCCAGCAGACTCCACGGATGAAACGCCTCCTCCGGCAGCTCCTCGAGGGAATTCGGCTGTCACTGCTGTAGCCGCTGCGGCTGGAGCTTGCTGGATCTCAGTCGCCATTGCCGCGCTCGCTCTCTTCTAAAGGGAGGATTTTTACGGATCATTGTGTTGGTTTTTGGCCATGTTTTTGTCTTAGATCGCGAGATCTGGAGGTCCTCCATGGGAATTTGAAGACCCAATTCAGAGAAAAAAGAAGAGAAACTAAAAAAAACTACTTTTTACTTCTAAGCCAAAGGTTTGCTAAGACCTAAGAACGTAAGTCACGAGACCAAATGGGCTGCCACAAAGGTATGTTTTTTAGAGTCACTTAGACAAGAAAGCAAGCATTGGTTGATAGGTAGCTCGCGTAAGTTCACAAATCTGTCACCTCTTCCAAGAAAACCAATCAATCCAAACCAAAGTTTGGACAAAAAGAAAAGCTTGGAAAAAGCTTGTAGCGAGAGAGGAAATTTACGGCATGGCTCGTCAAATGGATGGAATGGTGCTTGAACTTCTTGTGTGGCTTTGGTTTTCTTCTTTCGTGGATTCTTTTCCTTTGCTTGGGGGAGTTGTGTATGCGTGTGTATATGTCCTATGTTGGTGCTGTAGTTGTGGCTTTAGGGCTCCTCAAACTTAACACGCGGTAGCGGTGTTGGTGCTATTAGGCGCTGGCGGCGACAAGGAGGAATCGAGAAGCCCGGTAAGACGAGCTTTGCGTTCTAGTCGAAAGATGGGGAAGCCACCCGCAATCTCCACAGCCAACAACACGCGCTGTAGATTTCTCCCGGAAGAGGTAACTTAGCGGTCATCGTAGAACTTTTCCTGGTTTTTTTTCGCTTTTTTTTTTCCGGTTCTTAGATTGCCTTCTTCTCGATCTCGAAAGGCCGGGTGTTTTTTCTTCTTTTTTTTTGTTTTTTGTTTCGTTTGTTTTGCGGTTACTTTGATTGCCTGGAAGCTAGAGCGAAGTTCTTGGCATCGGCAAAGTTGGAGTGGCTTGACTTTGGAATTGCATGAACCCTTTATGTGGATGGATGGTTTCTAGATTGGATCTTTTGTCAAGAGTTTTCATGGGCTTGACGACTTTGCTATTACCAGGTAGCGGAGATGGAGAAATTGTTAGTACACCACAATGGACTCACTCCATGCCGCAGCGTACAGGAAGCCCTCGCGGAAAAATTCAGGTAAAGTGGCTCCTTTTGCTCGATTCAATCGTTTTTATGCCTCCAAATCTTGCAGCAAAGGAGCTGCTCGCACGGGTCATGCTCCAGTCCGGCCAAAACAGGTGCGTAAGTCAGTTTTTCAATCTTTTCTTTCTCGAGAATTAGAAGTGAAGTACAATTCTTACTGCAGATCTGGAACTGGTTCCAAAACCGGAGATATAAACTGTCAAAGCTGGATAAAGTCGATCAAGGAGCAGGACCATCGTCCTCTGGAAGAAGTATGATCAAATGCACGGCAGAGCAGCTCCTTGGTACGTAAGGTTTTGGTCTGCTGATTGTTCTTAGTTTCTTCTTCTTTTTGTTTTTTTTTTTCTCACAGCTCAAAGAGCAAACGGGCTTCAATTCGAGGCCATCTCCAGCAAAGATGGTGCCTGGTAAGAAACAAACTCTAGTTTTCCAGAAAACTTAAAGAAACTTGACAATGATCTTGCATCTTGCAAATTCTAGGTACGATATCAGATGTTTTCTTGGATATAAGCTCACCGAAATGGGGCCGGTAAGCAGAAATCTCGATTTTTGTGATAAGTTGTCGAGTTTTTCTCGTTTCCTAAACCGAGAATCCTTGTTTGTAGGAGATTTTTATAAGATACGCTGGACTGGGTGGAGACGAGGATGAATGGGTAGAGCTCAAGTCCATTCGGAGGAGATCACTACCGTGTGAAGGATTCGAGTGTCTTGCAGTTTATCCCGGAGACAATGTTCTATGCTTCCAAGTAAGCTTCCATTTCTTTTTCTCCTTAGCAATAGGAGTTCTCTCTCGTGTGCTTGTGTTTACTCCAAAGTTTCTCTTCTTCTTTTGGATGATCTATCAACCAGGAAGGCGACGAGCATGCTCTTTACTACGACGCGAGGGTGATCGACGTCCAGCGAAAGAGGCACGACTCCCGGGGGTGCCGCTGTAGATTTTGGATTCGCTACGACCACGATCAATTCGAGGCAAGCATGTTGTGTTCTCCATCGTTTTTCCAGATTCTTACGTGTTTATGTGGACGGTTTAGGAAGTGGTGACGCTGAGGAAGGTGTGTAGAAGGCCCGAGACGGATGCTCGCTTGAAGACCCACTTCGAGAGCAGTGATGGCAGCCAGCAAAAGCCACAAGAGAAGTTCGCACACTTCGAGGACGATGAAGGCGAGCAAGAAGTTGATCAAGAACAAATCCAAGAAGAAGAGGACCAGCAACAAGCACATGAGGATTATACGAAATCGTGTGTGTCAGGTGTCGCTGGTGGCTTGTCAATCGATCTAAACGCCACGCCTCCAGTGGAAGCATTTGGTCTGCGGCAGTCTTCTGGTGGATCATTTTTGCAACCTGAGATTAGAGCATTATAAAAACAGTCGAAATTTTGTGTACATCAAAATGATTTCAATGATTCTTGCTATGATAATTTTAATAAGAATTAATCATGCTTTAAAACCTGTATGAATTTGTAGAATATTCAAGTATTTTCTAGTATATTCCTTGATCTTTATACTAGAACTAGTACTACTAAATAAGAGGATAGTCATAACCTCCTCATAAGCTCTAAGCAAGCAAAGTTTATTTTGGACAGAAACCAGATGAAACACCTCTATAGATAGGACTTTGTGCTGAAGTTTTTGCAGCTAGAATACAATGCATGGCAAACTTTGAGCAGCCTTTCCTGGACATTGAAATCTATAAGTGCCATACTCCATCTTTGTGTGGCAGAGCTGGGGGGCCAGGGAGCCATACCAGACATGGGCCACACCTCAAAAGGTCCTGGTATATATAATATAAGTATTATAAAATTATTTGATTTTTGTAGATAGAAGTCAATAACAAAGTGATCTAATATTGTTATTGAAGTAATATTAGATGCAGATTCAATCTTCATAAAGAAAAATCTAAATTCCACTCTAGTATTGTAGTTGTCTCTAGAAGCTGAATAACTCAAATGGAATCAAAGAATGGTTCTAAAAGATTGGTAGAAACATTTAGACTATAGTGTGTTGTACCCTACGAAAGATGGGGAGGATCATAAGATTTAAGTATGAGAATAATGAGTATCTTATTAATGGCAAAATATGCTATACTAAAGTTGTGAGAAATGTGTTCCCTAAAAAAAGCAACTTTGGCACAAAGTTGTGTATGAACAATATGGTGTAGTGCTAACTAATAGTTGGCATGAAAAATGACTATTTTAGTCTTGACAAATACCTAGACACAAATGGAAAGTGTCGTGAGAGTAAACTTGTAGAGCTAATGAGGTGAAGACCCCAAGTCTCTCAAGGGATAAAGCCTTGAAGTCAAGTTGATTAATTCATAAAAACCTTTTGCCAAAGGAATCCCAATGGAAATATAATTGGTATAATTTAAGTTGAATGGCATGTAATTCAAATATGTGGACCCAAATAATGATGGACATGTGGAAACATTAACAATGAGTTATAGGATTTAACAACTATAAAGCAACTAAGTAAAATATGTGGTATAATTGATTTAATTGGTGAAAATCAACTTTCTAAAACTTTTTATTGGGATAAGAAGGAAGATAGATATATCCTTTGAGGGATAAATTGCTTATGTTACAATATAATGAGTTAAATATTATAAAAAAAATACTTATTATCAAAGAAGTTTATCATTAAGACAGCTAAGCACTCTTAAACACCCAGGAAGTGGTGTTGAGTATCATGAGGGCATTAGATAAGGCACTAGGGACAAAGTTCTTAGAAAATAACAGATACAAAATGCTATTCAATGTTTAAAGTTGTAGAAAGTTAGAGATAGAAGTTTATTTATCCAAAATTGAACAAAGCCAAAAAAGATTTTAGCTAGGATAATGATAGGCACACAAAGGCCCATAAGGAACAATATTAATCCTAGTGTGTAAGATTATAAGGTGAGTATATTTGAATTGAGGAACCATTCCTTATGCTATCAGGTAAGTTCATCTTTAAGAATACTTGTTAATGCATGGTAGAAAGTGCAAAGTTATTCTCCTAGTTTAGAGGAAAAATAACTGAAGGGAATGTGTAAAGTTAAAAATAAGTAATAAGGGGATAAAACCAAATGATAGAAATCGAAAGGTATAACCAAGGGTGATTATGCAAGTTGGAAGTGGAGAATCAAGTAGGTGCTCAAAGGTGTTACTATTGATAATTGTGGAGCTATAGAGAGTCTAAAGTGTGAAATTTGCCCATGTTAAAGTTTATGGCAATTAAAAAGCTTGTGAAAGGAGAAGCTTTGGCAGACTAAAGGACAAGGTCCCTTCAAAGTTCCCAAAGACAATTTTAAGTAGGTTAGTACATAGAAAGACAAATGTAAATAGTTTATAAGAATGTGCAAAATTAAAGTGGCACAACAAAAGCATGGTTTTGAAGTTTGCTGAAAAGCGAGGTTATCAAGGCTAGAGAATTAATTCCTGAGTGTTTAAAGAGATGAAAGTTGATGGTTAAGGACTTTTATGCTTATGCATGAAACCATGTTACGTTGGTTAAATGACTTACTAAGCGAGAATGGTAAATCAGGGGAACAATGACCCTAGTTAAAGGTGTTGACTTCAAAAGGGGTGACCCATAGGGCCAAGCATGGAGGAGTCCATACATAATTGTCGCAAATGTGACTTCAGGTATCGAAAGTTACCTGTCGACTAGTCCTTACGGACACTCTTACATTACTACCGCAACGGTAGGAGGTCGGTATTGTTGGACTTGTTATCAATCTCCGCTTAAGCTAGTTGAGAAATTGGTCCTCGCGTGTGCACTTGACCAAATGAGCATAAGGAAGAAATTCCTAAGTGCCTATTTAGTCAAGCATACTTGACCTGGTTAGAGAAACTCATTCGTTGACTTTCAATTGCTAGTGTTGGGAACCCCCGTGATATTGAGCTTGGTCCCTTAATATCGCTAGATGATAGCTTACTGTGTCTGCCAAACACCCTGGCTATCATGCCCTTTGTGTTAGTCTTATTTCGGTCCCAAATGCTATTTATGAAAAGTGTCCAGATTTGCTCATTTGGCATATCTACCGAATGTAGAGATTGGCTTGAACACAATGGTGTTCGTCCCGTGTCCAAATTCGCATTCTAGCATCATTCCATATTTAGTAAGTTTCAAGCTTGTCCCAGAGACTAACTCCTGATACTAAAGGAGGCTTGGGGTGAAAGCCCAAAGCGTGTGTTCCTCGAGGTGGGGGGGGGGGGGGGCTATGGGGGGTTCCAAATGTATAGTAGGGATAGTGGGTAGGTCGGGCATGGCCGACCAACCTGAGGCATAGTCTAGCTCCCGCTTGCGTGCTTGTTTTTGTTTTGTGTCCGGCTTGGATCTAAGCCCAAGTTCCATTCCATGCTAGTTGGTGGAGTACCCATGTCCTTGCGTTAGGCCACCGGTATGCTAAAATAGCACTAGACTTCGTTTGGCTCCGTTTTGCGTGCTGGTCCTGGCATTGGGATGCTGGATACTCTAAGATTGTTCCAAGTCACTCCGTGCCCCTGTCCTTTCGCTCCTTGGGCTATGTGCTCAGGAGTTGCTCCGTGGTTCGGTTCCATCACTCCTCGGCTCCATGCTTGGGAGTTTGGCACCGTTCCTTCGTTCAGTGGCCCACTGAAACTCGGGCCACACCACTGTCCTTTGGACATGTGGCATATGACATGTGGCACATGAAGGGTTAGGTTTCGCTTCGTGGTTATCACCATAGGATAAAGGGTAAAAACCACGTGTGCTACATTTGGTATCAGAGGATGAGTCTCGGCGAGTACTATCCAATGAGATTGGGCAACTAGTCTCGTTGCATACACAGAGATGAAAACGATGATTCGAGTGGGTACACGTTTGGGTGTAAAGATTTCGCAATCATTCCTTGAGTATGGATTTGATTACCTTTTTGTACTATAATAATGTGAGCTTGCTCTTGGGCTCATAGGATGGATTTGAGGTGTACCATTTGCACAAGTTTTTGCTTGGGCGAGTGAGTGAGGCACATTAGTAACTCAAAGATATACTTTGAGTTGGCAGGATTAATGTAAGCCTATTGGTGGTTCCATGAGTTGTTCCATGTACCATGGGTGAAAGCAAACCTCTCTGGGTTTACTATGAGTGGCAAATAGGCTGGTCCATAGTTGTTTAGCATGGCACTAGTGGATCCTTCCTAGGTATGATTACAAGTGGATCAATCAAGACTATAGGGATTAGTCTATTAGTTCAAGTAGTCATTGTTGTGCTCTTTCATAAACTTTTCTTGGATTGGACTAAAGGCAGTGCAAAAGCAAGCTTGAGGTTTAGTCAAAGATGAGACCAAAAAGAGAGTCGTCAGGGACGAAGGATCAAACATGTAAATCATTTTCTCTTCTCGAAGAGATGATTCGCAACAAGGTGTTAACTCATTGCTCGTGTTCACATCATGCAATCAAAAATCCCTACCTTGATGCATCTTGGATATGATAGTCTTACAAATGGTGAGTTGTGGGATGGATAGCAGTGAAGCACTAAACCATTTTGTCTAGACTTGCTATTGGAAGATTTAGGTTGCAATGCTCAATTCTTTTCCAGGGAACCTTGCTATTGTTCCTTGAGTAGCTTGGTGTTGGATTAGTGTTGAGTTTGGTCAGATAGAGAGTGGCAAAAGCTTGTTCATGTTGTGAACAAAAATTAGTGGTGTTGAGTGTTGTAAATCTCTATTGGTGGAATGTGGCATTTATGTTGCATTTTGTTAAATCGAGTTGGCACTTGATACTCACATAAACCTTTGTAGTGTGATATAGGTATTGCTCATAGTGTTGCTCAATTGATGATCAAGTCATTATGATACTTATATCATATCCATGTGATAATGAGCAGTGTGTTTACGAAGTTGCTGGTTAAACAATGATCAACCCCAAAGTGGTTGATGGTGAAGCTAGTCTACTTGCACATAGTAGCATTGTAGTATCTTTGACTGGATTCTCGGTGATAGTCCATTATGCTAAGCGTAAGCTAGTTCCTTGTTTCCTTGAGGGTTTGCCCATAAAGTGTTGAAAAAGGGTTGTAGCATTCATTTGCTATAGCTTGTCAATTGATTCGTTTGCACTTGGAGTAGATTGTTAGATGGAGAAGGTGTGTAGTTGAGGCATTGACATTGCTAACACTTGTGTTAGCGGAAGTGGCATTGTTACTTCAAGTGATGAGGAATTTTCCTTGAACCTTGATTTTCCATGTCATTTTTCTTGTTAGTGTTTAGGTTTCACATTGGATCTTGAAGGTGGTTGAAGAAGAGTGTTAGTGCAATGTGGATATCCGAAGATGTGGTCTTCGTGATCAAGCCTTGAATGTTCATTTTGCACTATGCAGATGTCGGTGTTGAATATTGGTTAGATGGGCAAAGATGTTCAATGCTTAGACATATTGTTGAATCATGAGAATTTGTGTTGAGGTGAACTTATGTGAAGTTGTTAGTAGGAGAAAGTTGGTTGAGTTTTG